TTCCAACCATAATGGTTCTGTGATTCTGTGAAATGCAAGATCCTCCAAGAAGCTATATCAGAGAAAGTGTGTGTGTGTGTATATATATGTATATATATATTCACACACATATATGTATATATAATGCATGTATTTACTTAGAAAAGCTTGATAGTGGGGCACAAGAGATTATGTTTCAAATTGAGGAACTAGTAATAGGGTAAAGAACAGCAAATTAAAATGGCAAACGATTGGACAGATGGAAAGAAGCCATGTTTGAATGGGCACCATTCATCCATATATTCCAAAAACTCAAGTCAGCAAACCACATCATGGTGTGTAACCTCTCTCAAACTGCCCTTGTAGTGGAAGAGAAGTCATTAAGGTAATGCCAATGGTCTTCAAAGTCATGCCAAGGTTCTGAGGGACTACAACAACCAGGTACCCCTGAGGTACCTGCATACGGCGTCCACTTTATAGGCAGGTATATTAAATTGAGGTAGAAGCAAGTGTACATCTTATAGAACAACATGATGTCTACAAATCCATCAGAAGTTCTGTGATTTTGTTTAAGATTTCCAAAAACACATCCAGCACACCCTGAAGTTGTTTAAGAAACTGAGATCCACCGTAAGGTAGAATGTAACTTCTTAGAGTCTTGTTTGATGAAATAGAAAACAATTTATAGGACTAAAATGACAGTTCTCAAAGTGCAGTAAATTGAGCAGTGAAGTCTCACACATTTCTCTGCGGAAGCCTTTGCTCTCCAACATAACTACAGATGTTCTGGCAAATGGGGAGTGTAGAGTCTACAAATGTAGAAAAAATTCATATTAGTAGATAAAGTGACAGATGAAATTCAATATAGGTAGATATGATAGTCATGGGGAGATGGGGAAAATCTCATATATAAACCAAATCAGAGCAAAATGTTGGTGTAATACAGATTCCTGTGAGAATGTCATCTGTGTTCAATGATGTTCAACCAAGCAATTACTAAGAGGGGGAAAGTAGTTAACAAATAAGGAGTATCAATATGCCATTATGTTCCCTGGCCTTGTTTTGTTCCCAGTGTAGCAAAATCAAAGAAGGTTACAGGGTGGACAAGAATGCTTGAAGGAATTACTGCAGCTTGGAAAAGATCAGAGGAAGAACGTAATAAAACCTGTAAATGATTGCAAGCATCATTGGAGAAAATGAATGGAGAAGGATTTCTCAGTTTTCATTTGGAAAAGAGCTGCAGAATACTAATGAAACTAATGTGGCAAGTTTCCAAAGGAGATGCTTCTTTACAAAGCGTATAATTCAGCTGCAGAACTTCTCGTTTTGCACGTTAGGTGCTAAAGATACACATGGATTCAAAAGCAGTTGGGTGAATGAGCACTCCCACTTAGCGGATGTTGTAGACAAAACACTGAGCTTAGGTGGATCTGTGTTCTCACCAGGGATGGCCATTCTTGGGTGAAGTATTTATTGTCATAAAAGTTAAATGTTTCTTTAAATGTATCATTTTCTTGTTCCTTCAGGCCAAATTAAAGTTCCATATCCAGAATCCTAGTGCAGCTGAACTGGTGCATTTTCTCTTTACCCCGCTACATATGGTAAGGTTTTATAATTTTCTCAGTGTTTTCCTCCAGAACTCTTGTATTTACATGCTCTGTAACTTTTTCAAGGATAGCAAGACTGAAATTTGTGTCCCTGGGCAATAACTAAGGACAAATGTGTATATCTAAGGATGAGATTCTCTTTAGAAAATAATTTATATCCTTTGCTTTGTGTATTCCCACCTATTAAATATATTTATTTAAATCATCTTTAGCTTTGTGAGTTACAGTTATAACGTTTAAGTAACAATAAAAAATTTAGATATTTTACATAATGCAGGAGGAAAGTTGAAAGCATAGCCATATGTCTGTTTAATGGAAGAATGTGTCATTTTGATCAGTAGAGCAAAAATAACATTGCCAAAAGTGGGCCTGAATGTGAAATGGCTGGTAACCAGGACAGTAGTTCTGCAGTAATTGATTTAGTTAATCTATAGGACACTAAGACACCTTATTAGCTTCTCACAGTTTTTTGGCGTGGGAGTACGTTTTTTGCAAGTGGTAAATGTTTACCTAGCAGCACTGCAGGTAACGTATATATTCACAGTAACTTCCTTACTGACAATGTGTATGTTCTCTGCATTATTTTAATATTTGGATTTAGGTGGTACAGACAACAGGAGGTCCAGAGCTGGCTAGTACAGTGCTCAGCCCCCTCTTAACAAAAGATACAATAGATTTCCTGCGATATACTGTTACCAGTGAAGAAGGACAGTTATGGATGTCATTGGGTGACACGTGGACCAAAGCCAGGTGAGAAAAAGCCTTTGCAGATTTTAGAGATAACCTCTGACCTCAGGTTTGTTGACATGATCTTAGCCAGGTTATCCACCTCCCAGTGAACTCCATGTTAATTTGTTAGGCTTTGGACTGTTCTTTGGAGTTTTTTGAAAGGGAATGCTTTAGCCTCAGGGGCATTTGGGATTGGTTAGATTTTAAGGGTCTTAAGGAGAGAGAAAATAGAGACAATTTTTTTTTTTTTGCTTTATCCGTGGTATCAATAACCTCTTGCAGTCATTTCTTCTGAACTGTCCCTCACATGTTTACAGTTGTTTCTTACCATTATTTTTTCAACCCAGCTGTCTGGACTTCATTATCCTTCATCTTGAAGAAGCTGCAATAAAGAGTAACAAAATTTTGAAGAAAGGGTAGAGTTTTCTATTTTCAATTCCCAATAATTATCAAAAGCTAAAAATTTACAATGTCTTTATTTCTGTAGAGGCAATATAATGCTATAACGAAAACACTTAGAGTTTTTAAATTATATTTGTTGGCTGAACCATGTTACATATGCCTACCACACATGTTGCACTTAATGGATTCACTATTATGTTTAGGCTTGGTTTAGCTAAAAATTAACTTTTTAATACATTTGAGGTAAGTGCATGGTTTGAAATTACTCATGTAAATAGAACATGCAAAAGAAAAGGCCTAAATCAGCAAAGTGTGTTTTAACTCTGTAATCTGTGGTAGGTAAGTACAGTTCATAAGGATTGAGTATGGAATCACTTGAGCTGGAAATGCGTCATATATTTTGTGCTTATTTGTCCTTAGTCTTACATTTCAAGTTGGAACGTAAACATCTACCAAGTGGATTTCTTCAATTAATTAATTGATTGTTTTAAAAGTAGTTTGAGTGTTTTCGTGGTAAGAGAGGGTGCATGGAAAGCCCTAGAGTGTGGAATGACAAACATCCTCAGAGTAGGGAGAATGACATACAAGTCTTCCTGTTCTTTGATGCCGCTCTGCTTCAGGACCAGGAATGTCCAAATTTGTCCTTTGTGCGTATTTGCTACTACAAAACGAGAAACAGGAAATTTCCTTGGAAACAGGAATTGCAGCTGCTCGTGACTGCCAAAGAGCTTACGCCAGCAAAGCACCGTTTGCTCGCTTTTACATGCTTCAAGCTCTACTGGCTTCATAGCAGCTTGTGGCGGGACTGACAGTGGAAATTGGCTCATGTCATTGGAGCAGGGAAAATTGGTCACTGGGTTAAATAATGGGCTCTGTGTCTTGGGAAGTACCATCATAATTTGTTTAGTCCATCCTGAAGAAAGTCTGATGGAAAGAGAAGTATCTCCTGTTGGGCAGAGAAGAACGAAACAGGCAAAATATAGTTGGCTGATCTCTGCAGCTTACAAGCGATGGTCTGATTGACCTCAGTGTCCAGAGGTACACCGTGGTGTGGCATAGCAGGAGGTGTGAATGATAGAATTTGAGGGTTACTGACCTAGCTCAGGCCTGCTAATGGGCTGCTCATCGCTGAGTGCTCCTGCAGCCTGTGTGACTGGCAGCATTTGTCCCTTACTTTTGAGCAGTGTCAACAATGACATAGTTAAGGCTGTGATGGACATTCCCATTTCTGCTTCCACTGTGAAGATACAGTAATATATATTCTGGGACAGTGGGTTACGTCCAGTGCAAAGACAGAGCAAAAAAGCATTTATTTAAATATTTTGTATTGCAATAGGGAATGCTAATGGAGCTCTGAAAAGTAATACAATATTTTAAAAATACCAATCTGGACTATATAACAGCAAATGTGATGATACTTCTTGTGTCTTGGAGAATGTAGAGTTGTTGTATTTTTTTTTTTCCTATGCAAAAGCTGCTGTATAACTATTATTTTAAGTGTAGCTAGGACCCCTAAGATTCCGTGCTTCATACCTGCTTTCAAACTTGCTTTATGCAGGCCATTTATTTGAAGTCTTTTGTCCTGGTGCTTTACCACAAATAAAGCATTGCAAAATTTTTCCCCATCTAACAGTTAAAACAACTCTTTGATTTGTTTGTGATTGATTCTTCTATTACTCATCGTGTGCTACAAGACAGAAATTTGTTGTGTTTTGCCACTGACAAGGCCTTATGGCAGGAGCAGTTTCTTTCTGCAGGGCACAGCAGGGAGCATAGTTGCGGTCGATAAATGTTTTCTGCTGATTTTATGTGTTCTAGTGCAATTCTGCCTGTCCTGTAATCCCAGCCTCTCCTCTATACTAATAAAAATTCTGAAGTGTTTCAGTTTTTAGGAAGCCTACTAGACCTGAGTTTACATGGCTCTTGGTACAGATCGCTAATTTACTTTTCATACAGGGCGGATTGGCCAAAAGACCATTTTATTCCACCCTATGTCCCCCGTTTCCGAAACGGTTGGGAGCCTCCTTTGCTGAACTTCATGGGAGCTCCAAAGGAGCAAGAACTCAATCATTTGGCTGAATCTGTGGCAAATGTTGCAGAGCAACAGCGGAAGCAAGAAATGAAAAGACTGTCAACTGAGGTAGGTTACCAGCAATAGTGGTTTGTAAATTAGTGGAAGGCAACTCCAACGGCTTCCTTCATAAAATATTCTTTGACCACAGAATCACAGAATGTCAGGGGTTGCAAGGGACCTCAAAAGATCATCTAGTCCAACCCCCCTGCCGGAGCAGGATCCCCTACAGTAGGTCACACAGGAACGCGTCCAGGCGGGTTTTGAATGTCTCCAGAGAAGGAGACTCCACAACCTCCCTGGGCAGCCTGTTCCAGTGTTCTGTCACCCTCACAGTGAAAAAGTTTTTCCTAATGTTTTTGTGGAACCTCCTATGTTCCAGCTTGTACCCATTGCCCCTTGTCCTGTCATTGGACGTCACTAACGTTGTCAAAGCAACCATGCTGAGAGCATGTGCTGTGTTAGTGCAAGCTTATTATGCTTACATTCATTTTTTTATGAAACAAAATACCTGTTTAAGCCACCAAAAATGCAATTAGGGAAAATACAAGGCTTTTGCCCACTGCTGCTCTTGAACTTGGTGCACTTTCCCACCTCAGCTGGGAGGACAGTGCAGGCCCCAAAGGTGCGATTTGATTCTTGATCTGTGCCTTCAGATCCCGTTGATTTTATCATATGTACTTTAGGCAGAATTTGAAGAAAAAGGTTCTCAAATGTGGATCCCTGCACAGGCACACAGACAAAAAGAAAATGACAGCACTTTTCAGCGAATTCTGGTTGTAAGCTGCTTCTGTTCCTTTCATTAATTCTTGATTATGTTCACTCTGTTGCAAGAAAGTATTTGGAGGTGCTGTTAGAGTAATGCCATGCCAGGTAGTTTAGGTCTACTTGTGAAACGCAGATGCCAGTTGGATTATTGCACAGAAACACTTTCCCATCCTTTTCTTACAAGAAATGTAACAAATTTAGATAAAGATAGGTTATTCTAATTAGAGAATGGAAATATGCACCACCATCCAAAACTTGCAGAGAACCTAGAGCCCACTTTATCACCGACTTTAGTCAGCCCTTTTGTTTCTCAGTAAAGATTGTACTCCCTACTTTTTCAGTAGAGTTGATGAATGTACTCTGATTTTTGTGAAAATTTTAAAAATATATGTCGAATTTTCTTAACTTTTTAATGCACAAAAGAACTATTGCTTTTTAAATGTGTTAAAAGTATTCATTTCAGAAGTTTTTTGTTGTTGGGACAATGTTGGCAGTAAAACAAAAGGAAACTGGAGAGTCGAGGCGATGCAAATAATTTGTGTATGAAGTAAAATCACTTTGCTTCCTGGGTGTGTTTTGATGTAAGATTTATGTTAGGTGACTCTTGATGTTGATTTTTTTTTTTAAAAAAAAGTCTTAATAATACAGTTTTAAAGAATATATATTGAGACTTTTGTGTGGTTTTAATTTCTACTTATAAACCCTCAGCCCTGTAGGCAAGTGTCTCTGGGTGCCAGGTCAGATACTTGGAGGCAGAAATGAGATGAGTGGATTTTCTGTAGCCACATAGGCCAAAGGGAGAAAAAAACAAAACCCAGTAACAACCAAACCCCAAAACCAGGGTTAGAGATTTGACAATTTCTGATGAATCTCAGCTGTTTTAACTGCAACTGAGTGGTGGTATAAGGAAAAGGTCTACAATGAGCAACTTCAATATCATAAGCTCCAGAAATTAACTACCTGGCTTGATTCTGTTTTGGGAAATGGTGTTAAAGTAATTTTTACTAGAAGCAGAATGTCAGTGCTGGATTTAAGTTTTGGCGTTGATTGGTTGGTTTGTTTGTCTTTTAAAGAATTGCAGTTTAAAAAGAATTTTCTAAAGCCTTGAATATTCACATATATGTGCTTGTGGTAAGCTGTGATTGCTTTCCTTAAAATTAAAATCCTTAATTACACTATCATGTTTCCTTTTGCATTTCTTCTTTGACTTCAGTCATGTGCAGGGCTAGGGCGACACAGGTGAGCCAGTTGATGTAGTGATCCTGCAGTAGAGTGGTTATTTTACCTAGGAGCTTTTATTTCTTATACAGACTTACTGTTAGCTAGCTAGAGTTTTCTGGCTCTAAGCGTGCATTGAGAACAAAAGCTTAAAGCGGTTTCTCAGTGCTATTTATTTTAGAGCCATTCAGTCATTGTTTCTAAGTTGTGTTTCCGTAGTGATATCTGAGAGATGACATGGACTTTGCCCCAGAGAACTGTTTTTCTAAAGAATATCCACTGCAATATTAATGCAGTGAGATGACTTAGGATAGAAATTCTTTAATTCTTATCCTTTTGATCTCCCTGTGTATGTATTTGAAATGCAGAAGTTATTAACTTTTCATAGCAGAACTGTGAGCACCTGAGCACGGGTGAATGCTGACAGGGACGCTAGGGGTGCTGGATTAAGTGAACTTAGGCGGTGCCGCTTATGACACTAACCTACTTTGTGGCTTTTTTTTTTTTCTTTTGTCTTCCAGCCTCCCAGCATTCCCGACTACCCTCCGTCCGATGGGTATGCATTCAGTAACACAGTTTACAAACGAGGGCCACTGCTGGACCAGGGGGCGGCTGTCGCTGCCTTTAAGCAAACTGTTAGCCGACATGTAGATAGGTAACACTGAATCAACGGCGAACGTGGTGCTGTGGATAACTGTCCCAACTTATTGCTATTGGGGTGGTGGTGTCTGTAATTACCTCTGGTTGTGTCTGGACCAAATCCGTATTTCTACAAGGAAGTGATTCTGGTTAGCAGTGGGCATTCTGCTTTTGCTTCTTTCTCCAAGGCACATCATTAAGACTCTTCTAGCATAATTGCTGTGAAGCTGCGCTCTCGATGTATGCTGTTAAATTGATACTTTTTTCCAAAAATGTTATAGTGGAATTCCAACCCAATTGAGAACACAAGATCCTCCTATTTCAAATTTTATTTCTGATTTGTTTCATGGTTTTAAGTATATTCTTTGCTCTTCTCAGAACTATAAAGAATTACAAGTCTGCTCTGAGATTCACCTGTCCTTGTTCTGAATGATTGCTTGATTTGTTTAACTGCTCACTTAGTACTCTGGATTCCTCTGCTTTTTGTTTTCTGGACTGGTGCATAAATATCCACTTTCAAAATAGCAAGTCCTCGTTTCTCCCATTCTCTTTCAAATGTGACAGAAAAGGTTCCAAAATGTTTGCATAGCAACCAGTGTCTTTTTGTACATCCCCTTTATTTTAGCTTAAATCTGAATAGCTTGACAAGATCAAATGCAGCAATCCTTGGAGTCTCAGCCTTGTCTGTCGGGAGAACTAATACCAGCACAAGCTGTGGAAGGAAGTAAATCAGTAAAGTAGTGTTGAGATTGCTTCCCTATGCCAAACCATATTCCCTGTACACTGTACGAACAGTATTTTGGCTTAGGTGCCATGGAAGATGCTTGAACTTAGTTTTTGACATCAGGTTGCTGGTTAAAACATCATTGATATAACTCTTCTGATGAAAACCTTTACATAATCCTTAGTTTTGGGCTGTGTGCTGAAAGATCATGTTGTTAATCTTGCTTGCAAACAAATTCCCATGTAGTGTGCAGGTTGAAGACTCAATTTTTTTCCTGAACTTCCAATTTATTCTTCATAACAACAGCAGTTACTTTTTGAGTTCTTGTCTCGGGACCAGTCAGCTTGAAATCTAGATGATCTGTACTCTGAATTCCTTTCTCTCCTGTCTGTAATGTAATAAGACCAGTTTTATCCTTTCAGAGTAAGAGTATTCCATGCAAATGTTGCTGCCTCCATTTCAGGTTTTAGAGAATGAATCTCATTGCATTGAACTATTGATGATATCAATGTATCTGGCTGCAACTCAAAGAGTCATCCAAGCCTCCTTTGTGGCGGGTAAAGAGAAATGGGTGTTTCTAAGAAGCAGTTTATTTAAGGTGAAATTAGTCTTTTGAAAGATATGAAATGAGACATGCTGTGGTGGTGCCTGTTTCTCACCACTGGTTGTTGGAGGGAGTCTAGATGGCTGGTACTGATGCAAACATCCACACAGTGCTCCTGTCTTCCAGCCTGTTCAACAGGACACAAACTTATTGTTAATTGGCTCCTGAGACACATAATACATGTCTGGTAGAGGCTTATTACTGAGGGAAAGCTGTTAATATGTATTACCCCAAGTAGCTTCCATTTAAAGATAAGTTTTAAAGCATCTGTGAAGAAGCAGGTGGAGGAATGGGTTTAGGCAAAGGAGTGAGAAATTCAAGCTGACCCTTTCAGCCCTTCAGCTGACCCTTTGCTGATCTTTGCTTAAAGCTGACACTCCTAATGAGTGTTCTGAAGGCAGTGACCAAGCTACTCACTACCTTCTGAGGGATAGCTAAATTACACCTTCTCCAGTGAAGTTTTAATCACGGGGAACTTCAGTGAGCCTTATTCCAACATGGCAGGACCTGCAGTAAGTTGTACTTTCCTTGGGTAATGTAAACCAAGTGTCAGGATCTTAAACTTCTACTGTGATACTGGGTCTATCAGGAGCTCTCTCTGATGCTGAAAGAGTACTGAATGGTTTTTCAGCAAGTTGTGGTGTTTTGAAGTAGTAGGGTGTGTGGCTTCGTTTTGTGCTGTCATTTGAAGAAAAAAACCCTGGAAGTCTGTACAATCCAGCAGGTTCTTGAGCCGCGTGCGCTGGAGAGCAGAGGGCTGCCATTACAGTATATCTGATAGGCAGTAAGAAAACACAGTGGAGGCTGGGTGGAGGGAAGCGTTGAGAATATTTGTGCCCCGGGTAAACTGTCTGGCTCATTAAACTGGACTTAGGAATTACAGTCCCTTCAGAAGCATAAAGCCATTGACCAGCCCATGTCCTGAGGATGTTGCAGTTGATTGCAACAGAATGGAGTGAAACTGAAACATAAGCATTTTTTAAAATTCTTCCTGAGTTATGTTTTTTTGAGGGGATCAGAATAGTCAGGTGTAGGCAAGGTAGGAAGACACAGTTAGTGAAATGAGTTTGGAAAGCCAGCCTAAAAGTAAAAGTGCTTTCAGAGGTACATTAGTCATATCCCTGAGATAGTAAGAAAGGAGTTAAAAATTACATGAATTTTGAGTGAGTGGTATTAAAAACTGGGATTACTCACACATCTTTCAGCCTCATAACAGCTATTCTGCAGGCTAGGGTTCATCCCATGTTTTTCACTCTCTCCTTAAATACTTCTAGTGCTTTGTCTTCCTTTCAAAGATAATCTTCCAATCCTAAGATGACTCTTTCTTTCTTCTGCTCTTCAAGTGAGACAGTTCTCCACAGCCATGCAGTAGCCAGGTAACTGCCAGGCTGCCCAGGCACACGTGGGACCCACAGTTGCGCACCACCAACATCGGCAACCGCCTGCATAGCTTGTTATTATCTGTTTCAGTTTGTATGGGATGTTGTTTTTTTTTTTTTTTGTTTAAATAACTACTACCTGGTATGGCTGTAGGTTGTTGGGTGTAATCTGCAATAAGTGAAAAATGTTACTGCTTCTTTTGGACCTGTTTTAAGGAGGCAGGGGGCTTCTCAGAGAACTCGAAGAGATACTACATCAGAAAAACTAGTAACTTCCCACCCAAAGGCCTTCTGAACAGGTCTGTCCTCGTGGAAACAGAAAGACACATTGTTCTACAATGAACTCTGTTTGAATCTGCCAAGAAGTTATTATTGATGTTTTTATTGATACAGTAACTCGAGGCTGTTAGTTGATGGTATTTTATGGTCAGTTAAGAAAACTGATGTACAGTAGATGAGCATTTTTTTCACAGTTTAATTCCATTAGTATTGATGGCAAAAAATTATTCATCTATTATGTATTTGAAATAATTTATGATGCACACTAGAAATACCATTTCATACAAAGCATGAGATATCCATTATATACTTAATAAAGTCATTTGTTTATATGGCAAATGATTACTTGACCTACTGTAGGAAAACAGTCTAAAAATAGTGTACGTTTATTTTAACACAATGATGGCACCTGCTAATCTGTTTTCATACATCTTGCAAGCAGTGAGCCTGTAAAGATGAGCAATTCTTAAAAGTTCATGATACTCAACTGCCTCTTTCTTTCGTTTAATTTTTTCTTTTATTTGGCACTTAACTCAGTATATTGTGGCGAGGTGGGGTTTTTATGTTTAAATATTTTGTACGTTGTTGGAAGAGGGCATTTTATCTGTGTTTTTACTTGCCTGAATGTTTCACTGAATAATAGTCTGATCTTTGCTTTGCAGAAACTATGAAGCACACAGTAAAGCACAGGCCAAGAAATATGCCAAATGCAAGTATGAATTTATGGCAAGAAACAACAGTGAGCTTTCTGTCATGAAAGAAGAGATTGTAGAGGTAAATTTTTTTTTGCAAAGAGAAAACACAAATTTCGGATGTAACTCAAAGCTGAGAGTACCTTTCCTGTGAACAGTGTGGCTGTCCTTAATGATGACTTCAGTGCGTTTGATTTATCTCCCTTAATATGGAAAACTTGATTAATTCGTTTTCATCATAGAAAAGATCAATGGAGATTTTATACTGACTTATGAGTTGATGCTGTCGAGATCCATACTAGAAGAATATTTGTGTGCTTCTTACATCTTCTCTGGTGTTGCTTTTTAAAAGCCTCAGAATCACAGAATCATCCAGGTTGGAAAAGACCCTTGGGATCATCGTGTCCAACCATTAACCCTACTCGCAAGTTTAGTAGTATTACTCATTTAGTAGTATTTAAATAACTGGCTCTGGCAAATACTGTCTGTGTACGCACAGGACAGAGCAAAAGACTCTCTTTTCCTGAAAACTAGACACTTTTGGAAGGCAGGGAGAAACAAAGAGAGAAAATGTTGTGTTATGAGATTGCACAGCAGGCAGTCAGCCTTCAGGCCTCTCCTGGCCATCCTGCTCCAGTTCCCTGTTTACTCAGAAGTGCTCTCCCCCCAGCTTTGGACTGTCCTCTAGAACAATGCACTTTTCCTTGGATTATTAGTAGTTACCTCTGTCAACAGCATATAGGTGGCAGAGATGCCAACCTCTCTGCTCAAGTATTTGATTTTTCATCCTGTTGTCTTGTGTAGCACATGTCTGAGTTTGCAGAGGTTCATTGCATGCTTTTCTTCCATACCCTTTCTTGAGAGCTGCATTTTGAAAAGTGCAGTATGACCATGTAGAATTAATGATGGTAAATAGTTAAGGAAGCCTACAGGGACATCTGTGTAAGATCTGCTGGCAGTCACAAAACCTGGCAAATAGTTTAGTTTTGAAAGAATGCACATGAGTACTGGCAGGAAAGCCAGGAAAGAAAATGTCATTAATTTACCAAATTATTTCAGATTCTGGATGACAGAAAGCAGTGGTGGAAGGTTCAGAATAAAAGCGGCAGCACAGGCTTTGTGCCAAACAACATTTTGGACCCTCTGAGGAATCATGAAGGAGGTCTAGGATGGTCAGAGCCTGCATATACCCGCACCATCCAGGTACCGTCTGCTCCTTGGGAGCAAAACTTTTGTTTTGAATGTCATTCAACTTGTGCATTTTTGCCTGTGGAAGAGGAGGAGATTCACAGTAAGGCTAAAATATCTGCATTTTCCACCAACTTGTCAAAAGATTTGTATTTCTTGTACAGGCTGAGACTGGTTTCTATATTGCATAGAGTCTAACAGGAGAATAAAGTTGGTAGGGATACAGCAAAATGTTCTCCCTTAAGGGTGGGTTTGGGTTGTTTTTCAGCTTATTTGATTAGAGGTGGTAATTCCGATCCTAATGAATGTGTGTGCATTTATTTTAATTGCAAATATCCTTTGTGGATTGATAGTTGTTGATGCCAAAGAAGGAGTTTGAATTATTTAAGGTAGGGTCATCTTTGTCTCTCCTAGGAGGCTGAATGCTAGCTTTTCTTTTTATTTTCTATCATTGTGTGTCTCTATCTTAGTCTTGAATTTATTTAATTATTGTAATGTTAGAGTCATAAAACGTAGGCGTCTTTGCATTTGAATTCATAAAACGGGTATTTTTCAATTACTGTGCCTGTGCATCAATAGTTCTCTATTCTCTTGGCTTAATTTTGGCTTTCTTTCTTTCATGCTGTGGTGTGGAATTAAGATTTTTTTGTTGTTGTTGTTGTTTCTTTGGTATGTTGAACAGAATTAGAGGGTGGAATATTTTAAAAAAATTAGAATCTTGCATCCGTGCAATTTTCCATCTGAGTAACAATATACAGAATAAAGGTGTAATGTGTAGTTTTAGACAGCTTTTAACTGAGCTGGAGGCTCATAAAATAAGAAGTTGTATTTTCAAAGACCCATTTCTTCCCTTTTGTTTCTCATGATTTTGAAAGGTTAGGCAAACAAGTTTGGATTAAGCAGAAATTTCAGGCCTGCCTCTGAATCAGACCTTTTCAGTCCAAATGCAAACTAAACTTCTGTTGAAACTTGAAGTTAAATTTATTTTAATGTAATATTCATTCCATGTGCCTACACACTCCAGTTGATGGCTGAAAAATGAGACATGCCATAATGTTACTGTTGACTGCCTCTGCTGCAGACTCATCTAAAGGTCCCAGTCGAAAGTGTTGCTGTACCGGATTCTGTGTGTGCAGCTACCACAAAACCTGCAGCTTTTGCAGTAGTTCCAGTTTTGTCATGGATATGGAAAAATCTCTTGAGAAACAGATCCTATGCTGTTTCTGGCACAATAACATGGTAGACCTGTCCTGAGCTTGGTGGGCTTCAATCAAACTGTTTCTGAATTTCTCCTATCCCTAATTGTTTGCCTATAATATGTGAGCTCATTCTAAATTGATAATGGTTTTTGCCTGTCTGTGAAATGAAGCATGCATTTAGAGTGCTTTTCAAATCTTGATTTAAAGATGTGACCTTTTTTTTTTTTCCTTTGGGTGCACATTATTTTGCATGTTTGCAGTTTGCCAAGAAATTCTGAGCAGGCTGAGTAGAGTTTTGAGTGGAGCTTCTTACACTGTTCGTTGTAATATGCTGAAGGTTTTGAAGTTTTCTCTCTGAAATAATGACATGGAAAATAATAAAACAGTCATTTTCACAAAGCATTCTTGAAAATTAAGGTCAGAGAACAACCGTTAAGATAATTTTGTTTCTTTGCCCTCTGACAGGTTGTTCCCTACAGTCCATGGTTTGTTTTGGTTGTAGCTTTATCATATTCAAGTGTGAGCTTGAAATACCATGCAATTATTTAGGAATGTAATGAATTACACAGGATAAAGGGAGTCTTCTCTAAGACATATCAGCAATGTTGTTCTTAACCTTATGATGATTATTATAATTTCAGCCCTCCTAAGCATCCTCATTTGTCTCTTTTCCCATGTTAGAGACATGGTTCATTTGGGATCTGTTTGCATAACGCTCTTTATTTACATAACAGCGCTATAAGACATTGCTGCTATTTCAGGGAGAAATGAGGCGTTGAGGGGATGATTGCCTTGCCCAAGGTCAAACAGGAGAACTTGTGGGCAGAGAGGAGGAAATTGAAGAGGTTGCTGTCAGCACCCAATTTTGCCAGACCCCAGACGGGAGCAGGCTCAGTGCCTGATGCTCTGCGGCTTGTGCTGGTCTCCTAAGTCGTCTTTGGTTTTTGAGAGGTTGCTTTCAAAGTAGTCTGTCTGCTGCAGCGAGCCGCAGAGAAGTGTTATGTACACAGTCAGCGTATTTCTTTACAGACTAACGGCCTGCGAAGCGCAGCTGATCAAAGGATGTTTCCACGTTATTAGGAAGGATTAAAGATTCATTGAAAGAGAGATGTTTTTTCATTCAGTTACTCTGCGGATGGACACCCTTTCTCTGAGAGACGGATGCCTTATTATCACAATTATTCTCAGAGCTGCAAAGTTTATTTTACTCACTCTGTTACCTCTCCTAGTGACCTCTTAGTCCACACACTAGACTGGATCCTAATTTTTCTCTCTATTCCTTTCAGGACCCAGGTCCCAGACAGGCAATTCTGCTTTCAAGTAACTAAGCTAATACTTGCAGGAACATTGCAAGCAATATCCTAGTTATTTTATCAGCTTTGTGAGTCAGAGGTTTTAACGTTGTATTTCTTTTGGTCAGCTGAATTAGTTCCAAGAAAGCCTTATTTTCGCTTGTTTGATACTTGTGTACATTTAGGAGAGCATTTTGCTGATTGTTCTTATGTTTTCCACTAACATTGATTATTGTTTATCAGAGTTTCCTGTGGTGTTGGTGGTTTCATCTGCCTTTTTATTGTGAACCAACAACTTTTATTGAGAACACAGTTTCCCAAGCATTCTGATTTCTTCTTTTGTACAAGTATTGCTGGTGAACCTAGAAAAGAATTACCTATTTATTTCCTATTTAGTGTGCATTTTATTAATGGTTTTTTAATGGTCTTGAAAAAGAAATTTGAGGAACTTAATTGGGATAGACATGTGAATCTTGGTGGGCTTGTTAATTAATCTTACGACAGTCTCATTAATCTCATGGTACCCTTTGTGAGGTGAGACAGTTATACTATCAGTGATGTGCATGAAATCCTGAGATAGAGAGAGTAAATGTTAAACCAATGCAGTCCTGTAGTCTTATTTTAAAAAAACATGACTGTCCACAGAAGTGTGACAGTGTATGTAAGAGGCATGTTTATGGTATGTAAGCACCAAAACAAAAGTCTCCACCTCACTTGGGACAAGTGTCATTTGTGTCTCTTGACAATCTACCATTAAAACCTTTCTTTCAAGTCTCTTTGTTCAGCAGCTCACTTCAAATATCTCTGTGGGAAGTTGTTTCCCCTCAAGCACAACATTTGTGCTCCAAGTTAGCGTCATAATCTTTTGCCAGCTGGTATCTTTCCTGCAGATCATGAAGTGCTTGATAATGAAGAGACGCTGTTGCCAGGTGTTCATTTTGCAGCGGCCAAGGAAATGTCATAATTTTTGACCAGGAGCCAGTATCTCCTTTACCTCATTTCATATCAAATGCTCTTTAAAGTTGCTATCAGACCAAGACTTTATGATTGCTATAAAAAAAAAAGTTTCCTGTCCAATTCAACACTGATCCAATCTGAAATTATAGGATGCTACTTGTTATACAAAAATAAACTGAATAGTTGTAAAAAAGAATTTGATTAATGACGGGAATTAAAAGTCCCCAGTTGGCCCATAATTATATTTTTATAAGAAATGGGGACTAATCCTTGCTGATACGAATTTGAATAAGTAAATTCTGTCTATATTTCTCCTTTTTCCATCCTAATGTACTTCTTGCTTTCTGGGGTGATTCTAGCAAGTCGAGTTTGTAAGTCGGATGAACCCACAAATTCTTTACACACCACAAAGAGCTAGTTAGATGACTCGTAATGAGATCTTAATAGGCAGCTGTTGCGCAATAGCTGAGCCCACCAGAGGAAACTTGCAAAAGAACTCACTTGAAATTTGCTCTTCTAGTCTTGGATGCCTCATTGGGTACCATCCCTTTTGGGTGAGGACAGGTAGTTGGTTCTCTTTCCAAATGAGTTTCAAGAAAACATCCAGACCACAAAAGCTGTTGACAAAACTGCGGCTGAATGCTCTGCAGCTCTCTTGGTGACCTCCTGTCACTGTGCAAACAGGAATGTGGCACTAAAATGTTCAGAAAGAGATTAAATGGGAACCCCTGTGTCTGTGCTAGCTTAATGAGAGCGTTTCCCAGTGCTAATGCTAGTTATGGTTGTACCCAATGCCTCTCTAATGCTAAGCGTGTATTTGCCAGAGTTTGAATACATGTAGTCCCTTTTTTGAAGGCAAAATGTATTTGAAAATCTGTTGTTCTCAGTTTTTTGACAGTGATCAAGAGTTAAGGTTGATACAGTTAGCACTTGTACTCAAACTTACTATTTTGCTTACATTAAGAATATATCACATCATGCTGTATCTTCATTTTTGACAAGATGCAGGCTGTAGGGTGTGGAAAAAGAGCTTTGGGACTTCTATCTTTTTTTCCTGTAAAAACAAAGATTTTGTAGGAAAAAAAAAAGAAAAAAAATCTTAATCTCAGCAAGCTTTTCTGACATATTCAGATTTTTAATGAGTGTATATCATCAGTATTCCAAATATGTAAAGCATTTGTTTCAATATACTTGAGTTGAGGAATGCAAGTTTATTCTGAAACAAAAAAAATGAGGAGGAAGGAAAACCAAACCCCAGAACTGTTCATTGTTCTTATGACTGTCAGCAGTGAGTTTACTTCATTTTCTAAGCTAGCCAATGTTTCTTAAGCTAAAATAAATAGGTTCCTTTTTAATATGTGCCATGACTTAACTCTTATTGTTGTATGGTTTTAAGTGTTCTCTACATATACCTTATGATCTTCAATCCTTTGTAATTTTTAGTTTGTGTTTTGGGTTTTTTTAACCTCTTTCTAAGTTTCTGTCTGGTTAGGTGCTTTAAAAAGAGCTCATTGTTTATATGGTGTCACGTATGTATGTTTTGTAGACAGCCCTCCACTGATTATTCAGAAGAATAACTCACTATATGAGTTGCTTAGTGAGTAAGAAGAGATAATTATTAACAGTGATGTTCCTTTGTTTTTAAATTACTTGTTTTAAATATTGAATTGTGTGAAATTTCAAGAGTGATGTATGAGGCAGTTACTGTTCGCCTTCCTAACAATACTGTTTGATGTGATTTACTCCATTTTCCTCACAGCAATTGCTGGGAGAGCTTTCAGAGGTAACAAAATTACTCTTCTGATATTGAACCTCAAAAATTACTCTTTTGGACTATGCAGCCACCAGATTCCTTAGTGCATGCTTGTTTTGTTTGTAGCAATGAATAGAAGTGATGGGATGAACGTGTGAATGTCCTCAAAAGATCTGGAGTTAAAAAAAAAAGTGTTTAAAAAAGGAACATTAAATGCAATTCAAATGTGTAATTGGCTTTTGGGCGCTGTTCCACAGAATGTGGAGTGTATTTCAATGTGGTATCATCTGTAAATTTAGAATTTGAGTGGAGCTTCCAGATTATTTTCACTCCAGCAAGTCATTTTGATGAGACTTGCGATTGCAGTACAACATGTTTTCCAAACTACATGAGTAGCATCCACTGAGAGCTACATGTAGTGTTTTGCTGTTGCTTTTTCTGGATTATGATTGTGGTGATGTGCAGTTGATGCCTTGTTTTGTAATGAATCCTCTCTACCATAAAAAAAGCCCTGCTTTTTCCTTGCATGTTTTTTAAGAATGTCAGGGGTGCACATAAGGATACCTTGTCGGGATAACAGTCAGGCATTTTCAAATCTGTGAACAAGATTTAAAAAATTCTGAATATCCTCATGACATTTTAGTATCGATGAAATTAGAAGATTTTGTATATACCATAGTACATCTAAATGGTATATTTACTATTGTACCTAATAAGGCACTTTCTTTCCACCAAAGCACAGGTTTGTTGTATATACATTATTCTGAATGTTCTCTTATGTAATGCATTTCAATTTCTTGGCATTTGACATCTAAAAAAACGTTTATTGTCTTAACATTGAAGTAGTAGAATACAGAGGAGTCATCATATGATTCTTATTTTTAATCCCCACACAATGAACTGCACAAGATGGACACAAAATAATTGAGATGAATGCCTTTGAACAATAAAATGCTTAGAAAAAAAACACAACAAAACACTAAAAGGTTTCCCTGGGAATGTATTGTAAGACTTTATGCTTGCTTCAGTAGGTGACTGCTACAATTTAAGTGAAAAATTAACTAAGGGAAAGGAAAGATGTTTTTCTAGGCCTAATTGACTCCTTATAGAAGCTGATGGGATAAATTTTCCGCTGGCATAACTCAGCATAACTTAACTCTAAGGGTCCCAGTTAACATGCACTACAAAATGCCTCGTCCATCAGTTCAACATACGGAGTTGGGGATTCCTGTATAAAGGCAGTTGCTGACATTTAATAAAGGTTTGATTGTTGTCAGGCCAGTGATGTGCTGCTCAGATTCTAACATATGGCTCCTACAAATATTTCTTTACTTAATCTGCCATAAACCTTCTGCCTCCAAGGAAGAGGGAAAGATATTTCAGGAAGAAGCAATGAATCTGGAGAATGTACTCATCTATTTTCATACCAAAGTAATCAGACTTCTCATAAGTAAGAAATGAGGCAACTCTATTGAGCAAACAAACTTTAATATTAAAGTTTCAAGCTATGTTAGACCAAAACCGCGGAGAGGGAGCACTGTTAAAATAGAGAGATGTGGGATTTGAACTGTTTGAAAAAGAACTGTAGCATAGGTTATGTACAAGCTTTGGGACTTGTCTGTCATTGGGTTCACTTTGGGAAAATATACGTGTCTTCCTGTAACTGGTGCCATTCTAAAGGCAAAGAAGTAGGAAAGGAATTATTGCCACAAATTATTTTTGAGACACATGCTAGTTAGTTATTAGCTTAAATGGTGTCTGCAGTTCAAGAAACAGCATATTATCCCAATCTCAGTGACTTACTCCAATTTATTTTTAAGTTAAACCATTAGTCAGGCTTAAGTGTGGCTTGCTATGTTCATTTTTCATTACTTTTTAAGTAACATCTCTAAAATATGCAGACACTGATCAAGTCCAACTCAAATTTTTTAAGCTGTTAGAGTGCCAGGTATTAGGAGTTTGGTATTTAAAACCAATTTAATTTATAGAACTCACCTGTTTGAAAGAAACAAACATATTTCAGATGATGCCATTGCTGCGACTTTTGTGTCCAACAAAGAAGGAAATTGATGCCAAACATTGGTGCCAAATCAAGTTTTGGCAAATTGCGGAACTATATCGGGCAAGTAAGATGTCTTTGTGTAATAAGTGAGGTCAGTCAGTGCAAAGCATCTCGGCATTTTCTGCAGAAACCCAAGTTTGTCTGATGTCTTGTCCAAGTTTGGTTGTCCAACGGAGTCTCTCTGCATCCTTTCAGAAACAAAGGACAGACTATGTTGCAAAACAGCCTGATCCGGTTCCTGCTACTCCTTCACCGCCTCCAACGCCTGCTCCTGTCCCCATGGCTGTCCCGCTCCCTCCCAGCGCACCAGCACCGATACCGGTTCCCGTGCCCAAAGCGCCAGCAACCATCAGCCGCCAAAGCAGCACCTCCAGTGACAGTGGTGGTAGTGTTGCGCGAGACACCCAGAGGCAGAAGCAAATTCCTGTGGATCGTAAGTTTGTCTAAGAAGCAAGAGGGGGAAAAAAAAGAATTATTTCTTCCATTCCTGTGTATTTTGCTTAATCCTTAAATTACCTGAAACCTGGTGTTGCACATAAATGTTTACCTCCCCTATGAGGACGAGCTGTGAGAGTTGGAGTTGTTCAGCCTGGAGAAGTCTCTGAGGGGAGACCCTGTGGCAGCCTTCCAGTACCTGAAGCGAGCCTACAGGAAAGCTGGGGAGGGACTGCTTACAAGGGCCTGTGGTGATACAACAAGGGGCAATGGTTTTAAACTAGAGCAGGGTAGATTTAGATTAGATCTTAGGAGGAAATTGCTTACTATGAGGATGGTGAGACACTGGAACAGGTTGCCCAGAGAAGTTATGGATGCCCCATCCCTGGAAGTGTTCAAGATGAGGCTTTGAGCAAGCTGGTCTGGTGGAAGTTGTCCCTGCCCATGGCAGGGGATTTGGAATAAAATGGTCTTTAAAGTCTCTTCTAACCAAAACTATTCTGTGATTCTGTGAAATGCTTAGCTTCAATCCTGTGTCTGACCCTTGTGAATTGCAATGGTAGGTAGGGGCAAAACACTTCTGCACTTGTGCCAGCCCTAAATCCTCTCCTTTTATGTCTGTCTGGGATCTTCAGCCAGGGCTTTTCAACACTGTAAGTCTCCATACTGGTGTTCTGGCTAATGTATGTTTTTCCACCTGAACTCACTGTTACATTACAATCTGAAATGCTTTGAAAATCACTTAGGCTGTTTTTACACTGTGGTCATCGATATTTCTAGGGCATTTGCACCATTCTGAAACATGTATCTAAAGTTAGACTTACAGGTCTGGCTGATGCATAGGAACCATGTTAATGCTGTAGGAGACTCATCTTGTAAGCAGGTCCCCTTAGCTTGGCTAAAGCAACAGCAACTGGCAGGCCGCTGAGCCGGTTTTTGTGTCCTTGTCTTAGGAGAACACATTCCATAGCCCTTTGTCTGGAAAAAGCATGGTAACCGGCATCCAACAGTGTGTGGCAGTCATGAAAAGTTCTGCTTATGGCCACCTTGTAAATACAAAGCCCAACTGCTGCTGAGGCTTCTAATCTCTATTGTCGGAAAAGCAAGTTCTGTTAGGAGAACTTATTTAGTCAATAATTTCTGTCCTAAATGCACTTTAAATGATGTGATGGCTTGGCTTAAAAATAACTGAGACTGGTAGGTAAGCATTTGCTATAACTGTATAAAGTAATAGCTGTTAAAATAATAAGCTGCTTGCAGTTCAGGAGTTGATAGCTTTTCCCATCCTCTGCTTCCCTGCCTTAACAGAAAATCCCACTTCCACTTGAGGTAAAAACTGAGACCTAGCATAATCCTTTCTGCAGGACGGCTTCTTTTCTCTCCATGTCCCCAGTGGTTGGGAAGCATTCCTGCTTCAAGTCGGTGGAGCCTGCTTTGACATTGCCTGATGGTAGACAGCCTCTCACCCAAACTCTGAACGTGGGAAGGCTCTAGGACCTTTTTAAGTTGTTTTCCCGTAACAGGCTGGCTGGCTGGAAATTGTAAATGGAGAACAGCCTGGCAGAAGGAATGGGCTTTGCTGCCACTTCTGAAAGGAACAGTATGGTCAGCTTTTGTCTTTGTCCTCTTCTGAGCAGTTTGTTACTTAAATAAAAACAGAAACCTGAGCAGTTATAAAACATGTGGAAAGTGGAGGCCTGTATCTAGTGGTGTCCCTCAGGGGTCAGTGCTGGGGCCAGTGCTGTTCAGTATATTCGTCAACAACCAGGATGAGGGATTAGAGAGTGCTGTCGGCAAGTTTGCTGACGACACGAAACTGGGAGGAGTGGTTGACACACCAGAAGGCTGTGCTGCCATTCAGAGACACCCGGACAGGCTAGAGGGCTGGGTGGGGAGAAATCTTATGAAAGTCAACAATGGCAAGTGTAGAGTTTTGCACTTGGGAAAGAATAACCCCATGTGCCAGTATAGTTTGGGGACTGACCTGTTGGAGAGCAGTGCAGGAGAAAGGGACCTGGGGTTTCTGGTGGACAACAGGATGACCATGAGCCAGCGATGTGCCCTCGTGGCCAAGAAGGCCAATGGCATCCTGGGGTGTATTAGAAAGGTTGAGAGAGGTCCTCCTCCCCCTCTACTGTGCCCTGGTGAGGCCACATCTGGAATATTGTGTCCAGTGCTGGGCCCTGCAGCTCACGAGAGACAGGGAACTGCTTGAGAGAGTCCAGCGCAGAGCCACAGAGATGATGAAGGGAGTGGAACATCTCCCTTATGAGGAAAGGCTGAAGGAGCTGGGTCTCTTTAGCTTGGAGAAGAGGAGGCTGAGGGGTGACCTCACAAATGTTTATAAATATGTCAAGCGGGGGTGTCAGGAGGATGAAGTCTGTTCAGTGACGTCCAGTAGTAGGACAAGGGGCAATGAGTACAAGCTGGAACATAGGAGGTTCCACAAAAACATTAGAAAAACCTTTTTCCCTGTGAGCATGACAGAGCACTAGAACAGGCTGCCCAGGGAGGTTGTGGAGTCTCCTTCTCTGGAGACATTCAGAACTCGTCTGGACACGTTCCTGTGTGACCTACTGTAGGTGATCCTGCTCTGGCAGGGGGGCTGGACTAGATGATCTTTTGAGATCCCTTCCAACTCCTAATGTTCTGTGATTCTGTGATCTTCACACACACAAAAATGATTTTTATTTCCATTTAAGATTTGCATACCTTAGCAGGTATGCCTTTCTCTACCCATTACAGATGGAAAACATGAAGACTATCCCAGGTTCAAGTACAAGGGTGCGAGGTGTGAAAGGTTGCAGTTGCTGTAGATTAAATGGTTACGAGGCATCTCTTGCCCTCTTAGCCTCCAGTGAGGCCCTGGGCCACGCATGAGAGCTCCTGTGCCCTCCTGGGAGCTGTTGCTCAAGGCCACCTGATGGGCTTTAGATACTTCATCATCCCCTCAAAATAGCTGCTTCTGCAAAGGGAATGGGGAACCCTGCCCATGCAGCTGCTGCCCAAGGGCTCACCTGAACCCTGCAGAGAACACACCACGTGGTACCTGCTTCAGGTCGAGGGAATCTCGTTTCTTTACAATAATGCAGTGAACAACAGCAAGACTCTGTTACCTAACAGCTAAATATTTATCTTTTGCTGTAATCTTGGCCTAGATAAAACATAAGTCTTTCAAAATCTGGATAAATAGAAGGAAGATTGCCATTTTCTTGCTCTCTTCCTGTTTCGGAAAATAACTGGTGCATGCTTCAATAATGTTGCCTGAAGGCTTTACTCATATATCCCATCTCAGACCTTCACATATCACTGAGCACATGTCATTTTGGCTTCTGATTCATACTCTGGGAGGAAAAAAAAAAAGCACAATAGGGCCTGAATGCCTCAAATATTTTACTAGAGATATTCTGTCCACTTTCAACCTGGGGTTATTTTGTAAAAGAAAAAAGAAAATGGCTAAACCAAGGATGATTTTTTTATTTTGGTGGTGATTAAAAAAAAAAAATCCTAAAAGCCTGTGTAAAGCTTGTTTTATTTGTCTAACTGTATAGAGATGTTGATCCTTGGAAAGGCATTAGGAGAAGATAAAAGGAGAAAAAGAAACATTTGCTCAGGTTTTTTTCATATTGGAGTTGTCGTTTTCCTCTGTTGCTACTGGTGTAGTGGGAGAAAAGGAATAGGTTTTGCCATCAGAATGCATCAGAGAAAGTGCTGTAGTTACTGTTTGTGTATCAAAGTGAGAAGGTTGAATAAAGTTGACTAAATATAGCTTGGCAAGGAAATGCTGAGAATTTTTGAGATCACTTAAAAGTTGTGTGTAAAAGTATTTTTATAGTAGCTCCAGAGTTACTTCATGGAGAGTTTAACTCTGCTAAATCAGTATTTTCTTGGTGTCCAAAAAGATATCTAAACCTTTTGGGATTCTGCCTATTTTTGTGAAATTATCCATAGAACTTTTTATATGCATTTCAAGCAATTTTCAGTGTCATCATAATTGATTTTATTGAAGTACATGAAAAGTATTTCAGTTTGCTGATTTTCAGGTTGCTGATGACCAGCAACCAAACTAAGCACTTCAGACATGGATTCTGTGGGATAGCAAATTTGTACAGTTTCGTTAAAATAATCAGTAAAAAACAACAACAAATTAACCAAATAATAATTTAAAAGACACAAAAAAAACCCTTTGCCCAATTTCTCTGTCTCTGGTGAAACTTTTTCTTCTTTTCTTCTTTTTTAATGCAAAGTGTGACATTGTTTCAGCTGACTGGTTACTTCCCACTTGAAGTGAATTCAAATTTCATAAAATTCCTTCAAAAATGTGATTACTATAATAGCTTATTAGATATAAGGTGCTATGTCTTAGCAGCAGTGATTGGATTTTTTGCCTGAATTTGGTTTGTACTAAAAAGTTGAGCTTTCAATTAAAAAATGTTTGTGGAAAATGCTGCCTTTCCATAGTGTAACCAATCTTGTAATTTTTTTTGTCTTCATTTTTAAAACATCACAATTCTATCTGAAGAAATATGGACTGTGACAACTGAACAATGCTCCATGCTGCTTTTCTTCTACAGCTTGGATGCTGTCAGACTGATCTCTATCTCTGTGTGACATCAGGCTCATCTCTTCTTTTTTCGGGTCTCAGCTGAATTTGGTTTTTTGTTTGTTTGTTTTCTTTTTTGATTGTTTTGCAAAGAGAGTAGCGGGAATATTGAAATCTTCCATGGGAAAAAACGGAGAATAATAATTTAGATCTAGTGAATGAACCTTTAAAGGAGGAAAAAAAAAAAAAGAAAAACCAGAAGAGTTTAAGATTTGGAGTGGAGTAAAAGAAATGACCTGACTTTAATAAAGCAACCTTGAGAATAACTCTTGTGGGGCATCTCTCTCTTCAGGCAGGAAATCACAGATGGAGGAGGTGCAGGATGAACTTGTCCACCGGCTCACCATCGGCCGGAGCGCCGCTCAGAGAAAGTTCCAGGTGCCACGACCAAACATCCCAGTTGTCAACATCACTTACGACTCTTCACCGGAGGATGTGAAAGCATGGTTGCAGTCCAAAGGATTCAACCCTGTGTAAGTTTGAGGGCAAATGTAAGAAAAGGTCTTAAAATTATTTTTCTCTCAGTAATTAGGCTGAGGCCTGTTCACTTTTTAAAACTGAGTAGCCTTCTGAAAATCAAAATACGTCAGCTGCATGCTTGGAAAAAAGAATTTGATTTTACATACATATATATTTATGTATAGAAGTAAATGTAATATATCCATCCATACATACAGTGTAATATATCCATACATATCAATATGGTCGTAGACCTACAGAGATCTATTTAGAGAGGGAAAAATATATATATTAACCTTCACCAAAAGGTATTTCTTATGGCAAATACTGAATTCATTTCAAGAGTCCTGCTGCATTAAGTTTTGTCTTGAGACAATGTGGGATAAAGCCAATTTCCTTCTCTCCCTTGGCGAGTGCATTTTGGCTTATTTCTTATTTGTTCCTCCGGTGTGACCCCAGGACTGTTAACAGCCTCGGTGTGCTGACGGGTGCTCAGCTTTTCTCCCTTAACAAAGAGGAACTGAGGACTGTTTGCCCAGAAGGGTCTAGAGTCTACAGCCAAATTACGGTACAGAAATCTGCCTTGGAGGTACGTATAACCCTTGTTGCTAACCTAATGCTGAGTCGTGCTTTGAACTCGTAGAAGTAAATAGCTCTTTGGGCAAGGCAGCTGTTTATTCCTCATTTCCCATCATGCTGAGAAGCACTGTTTGCACCCAAGTTACATGGTATCCACTGAAACAGCATCCATCAAAACACTAGGTGGAATCTCTCCCGATTTCTAAAGGTTTCCACAAAGCATTAATAAAAATGCAGGGTTGTTCCCAAGTTTAAGACATTGTACGTTGTAATCAGGCTGCAGGAAGACAAAATGAGCCATAAAGGGCTTTGGGGAAAATAAGACGAGAGAGTAAAATGCTCTCTTTCATGCTTCTTGCTCTGCCTGATACAAGTGGACAAACAGGTGCTCCTGGTGCTTTTGGTGATGATGAGTTAGTCTTCCTTTCTCTTTGTAGAGATTTGATGTATTAGGCGTGAGAAAGTGCTGGAGTGAGCTCACTGTTGAATCTCGAGGCCTTTCAGGTCAGCCTTTGAGGGCATCTGTATTGGTGGCTTCGTAAGTGGGGGAAAACACATTTGACACTGTGCTAGCAGAATTACTGAGCTAAGGATACCATACTGTACCTCTGTATCCATTGCTTTGTCGCAGTTTGCTTTAATTACCACAGTATTGTTCCTTAAACACCTTAAAAGCTTGTATACAGAGTTGTGCTAGGGCGAATGTTTACCGATTTTAAACCAGGAGAGTTGCAGGTGTCTACTTTTTTTTTTTTTTTTAAAACTTGGTATGGCAAGTGGAAAAATGGACTCGATACTGTCTAGAGGTGAGACTAACCCAAATGAGAAGCTATATTCTTCACATCCTGTTTAAAAGAAAATCTTGAAGAGGTTTAAAATGTTTTTCTTATCCTCTTGTGAAGCTGAGTCTGTCTTGCTTAAATGATTTTAAGCTTTAACTACCAGGCATATAACAATATGACAAAAAAAAGACGAGTTTATGATGATGCATATTTTACAATTTACCTCATCAGTATGTATCAGAGAGCATTGCTTTCTAACACTATTAAAATTGCTTTATTACCTTCCTCTAGCCCTTTTTTCCTCTGAGAGGGAGAAATATTTCACTTTCATTCTTAGGAATATATGACACTACATTCCAAAGCAATCCATCAGTTCCAAGTGAAGATATATGTGTACTCTTTAACTTTTCTGGAATGCCAGCAGTTGTATTTCAGATTTTTAAGAGAGATGAAAATCCCTTTCTGGTGGAAGTCAGTTTAAAAATGCAGAGATGCACTGGATTGTAGAAGTCTGTACCCTTTTTCCTCCATGGTGTTATCCTGCTTGCCTCAGTTAGGTCTTGCACTGCAGGAAACTGAGCAGTCAAAACTTGCCTTATAAATGCTCTACAAGTGTTAGTAAACAGGTATGGGGAGTTTAACAAGGCCACTGGATTTTGTTAGTGAAAAGGTAATTGAAATACTTATTTCTGCCTCGGTTATTTGAGGCTTAAGTGATGAATTTCAGAATTTATGCAATTCCTGATTGCTTTAGCCTGTTTTTCGCTGAACTACCCAAAACATTATGTCTCATCTTCCTTTCTGTCTCTATAATATTTCAAGTCACAGGGTTTAGGAAGGCTGTCTTTAAGACAAGCTGTAGGAATGAGTGTCACAGCCAAAATGTCTACATGTGACCCAGCAAAGATAAGTCTCGGTGTTTCCATCAGGGTTATGCTCTTATTGCTTCTAGGAACAGAAGCATTTAAGCACACACATACTTGTACTGGTGTCAGGCCTACTTTACATTGGAATGCTTTTTTATAAGCAGTTATGGATTTGACCACCAAGATTGTCCTACATGATTAATAACTGATAAGTTTTCATGACGTTCTCTGGCATCCTTTACGTACTACTTGCAGGTCTCATGTTGCAGTAAATGGCCTGGGTGTTAATAGCAGTAATAGCCACAAAGAGAGCAAACCCATACACTCTGGCATTACAGAACTCCATGCCTTGCCTTTAGTTGTTATTTTCTATTTGGAATCTTCCACAAGTGTTTCTGGATTCACACTATATCTGCAAGCCAGTGAAAGGCTTTCTTCTCAGATGTGGGGCTGCATTTCCAAATACAGACAACCAGATCTTCAACTTTATGCAGCTGCAATTTTCTTTTCCGTGTTCTTCCACCTCAGGCAGAGGAATTCAGTATTTTGTAATTGGAAATCCAGTTGTTATTGGAATTTGGTAATTTTACCCTGCCGAAGACAAAACAAATAGCTACCATGCTTTCAATTGTTTTACTTCATTTTCATAACAACTCTATTCAGTTCTGAATCACACCAGAGTTTAGAACATCCAAGGCAGTTGTAGCCCCTCTATAAACATGACCAAGCAACAGACTGCAAGTGCAGGGGAGGTGTTTGGGGTTCAACAGCTTTCTGGGCCTGGCCAAGCAAACGCAGAAAGATAAGTCTGTGTGACACCAGGGTGTCAAGACAGCAGCGAGCTGGCCACAGCCAGGACCAAAACCCTCCTTTCGGCCAGAGGCAGTGGTGGTGGCAAGCAGCAGCACCTCGGGAGGAGGCAGAGTGCGCCGCACTTCTACCGATCAGATTATCGCTCACAGGAGATGTTTTTTGGGTCTGCTCCAGCAAGTTGAGGTTTGCCAAGTACAGTGTATCACAGCAACTCAGCCAGTTACTTTTTGATTGAAAAGTGAAAATATTAATAGTCTCCCTGATGACGAGATCTTAGGTGTCCGTTTCCTTAACTTTTGTTGAGCGTTTCAAGCTCTGGTGTTGAAAATCACTACAGAAGACAAGCACAGAGACATGGTATCCTGAGGGAATGCTCCAGATCCACATTCTCATTGTCTTCCTGCCTCATAAGTGGGAAGTGTGGGTACACACCACTTTAAAATCAAAAATGGTTTCTCTCTAATACGTGTTTCAAATGGCCTGGAAGAAGAGCTTGTTCACTTTGATACCTCGGTGAAAGGAACGACCCGGGCACATAAGTGGGACTGAATGATGGAATTTATTAATACCTCATGATCTGGTTAGAGATTAAGCTGGATAAATCACTAAGGCTGAGGTCTAGCGATCTGTTCCAAAAATTTTATTCCTAAGAACAGCCCTAGGCTACCTAGCTCCCCTGTACCTCACCTCCGAGCCGAATGTGCCTGCTGTGTTGTGCCATGCCATCTATTGCAGCTGCCCAAATTGAGCAGTGTTTCGAGCTCATCAGTCACGTCGTTATTGATGTTATCAGGAAGGTAACCTGTTTCAGCCTTGGCTGCTCAGTCATTTTTAGAGAAATTTCTACGTGACCTCTGATAAAGCACGTTGTTGCTGATGTTTTTTATGCATGACTTCAGTAACGGGTGACCGTTGCACTTGTACCTGAAACCAAGTGGGCAAGGACAAGATGAATTAAGACAAATAAGACTGCTCTCTCGCCTTCAGAGAGTCAGTTATAAGCCCCCTGTTTTGCCTTTCCACTCTGGAAGAAGAGAGCAATGGTAATTTACCTACAAGAAACATCCTAGCCTCCCTCCTTGTGGACGCCTAACCTGTCTGCCAGGTAATGGCATCAGATAATGCATTGTAATGGAAATAACAGGATAAATCTAAATTAAATTTTACATAGCAGGATAAATTTTCAGGAGTTCAGAATCAACTGAAGGATTTTTCCCCTTAACAGTCATGAAATCTATTTTACAAATTTCAAAACCAAATTCTGCTTCCTTATTCAGAGGCTAATTTTGAAGCTAGTTTTGAAGCTTGGAAGGTCTTGTAATAGCCAAATAACACCCAAGCAGTTATGGCGCTTGCTTTATAATCCTCTCATTTTATTCAGAGTCATGCACACTTTGGAAAGTTCTGCTCTAGTGGGTATGTGTTCTGGCCTTGCTAATAACTTCATTTACGTTGTCAAAGCAATCTGTTTGCATCTAACTCAGCAGACCTGTTTTTCACCCTAAAAGGTGATATAAAGCCTTGTCCTCACAATACTTTACTGTTGCTAATCCAACAATACACCAAATTCCTATTACTCTGCTATGAGTTTGAAACCTGTGACCCCAAACAGCGAACGCAAGATGGTGTATTGTGTGATGTGAGACGCTAAGATCAAATCCTTACTTAGGCCTTGGCTTTGCAAACCCTTGTGCATGCGTGAATTTTGTGTTTACATAAAACTAAAACCACCAAGGTTTTATGTGTTTTAATTCCTAAATATGATTGCCTTGATTTTTCAGTACTCAAGGGTGGAGTCCAAGCAAACTTGCTGAGCTTTAACCCTACTTTTACCAAAGCCATTTCACCCCATTAATATCCAATACTTCCAGCAGCTCGTGTGCAAACTAAAGGTGCTCAGCAGTGCTGAGAGTCAGGCTGACACTTCTAATAGTCTGCAGCTTCTTTTCTGGTCCATATTTAAGGGTAGCATAAATACTTTCCTGTTCCAAGCGTTACCTAACCAGATTCGTAGCTCATTTTTAGTTGTGGAGCTGCGAGGTGAGTTTAATTTGTTCAAACATCTATCTTAATAAAATGCTGTCAGAGGAACTTTATTATGTGTCGAAACCACAAGTAATCTCCTTTTATTCTTTATTTGTTTATAGGCTAACAGTGGCAGTTCAGAACTGCAAGAAATTATGAGAAGACGACAAGAAAAAATCAGTGCAGCTGCCACAGATTCAGGTGTGGAGTCCTTTGATGAAGGAAGCAGCCACTAAATGTGTTTCTCCTTTTCTTTAATTCTGTTGTCCATAGCATTACACCATCCAGCTTTGCTTTAGGAAGCAGTGAAGGGAAATGTCGTAGTATATTGTAAACGTAACTAGCCACCACAAAGAAAATTTACAGTAGTCTCCACAGAAGTAGCTGCTGCTGGCTTCTCATCATTAAAAATGACCAGATGAGAAATACCGTGGAGGTTCCTGACAGGTGAAACTGTTGGCCCACGATTCATTTACACCTGAAGATGAGTCGTGGCTTTATGGAATTATCATGACAGATAGACTGGAACACATCTTTGTGATTCATCTGAAGGAAGCTGAGGCAGCAATAAAAAAAGCATTTGACCCCTTCACTAATAACGAGATTCCGAATCCAATCTCTTGCTGTAGTGTGCAATTACATCTTTTGGGCTCAGTCTTTCATGTCATGCATTTGGCTGCAGGATGTTTACTTAAGTGGTTGATGCCAGCAGTCAGAGGGGAAATGTTTGGAAAATGAACAACAGCCCAACATAGACTGAATCTTTCTTGCATCCCTCCCAATATGTTTTATTACTAATGATGCTGTTTATGGCAAAATAATACTCTGTACATTGATTTTATCAATACTTCACTCGTGATAAACTATAATATTGCACAAGAAGGAGTAACTAGCAAATAGTAACACAACTCAGCTCAAAGAGGTGATCAGATCTGCTGTAAGTAGCCATGAAACAATTCACAGCCCTTTTTTTTTTTTTTTAAAATATACTTGCATTTTTTTGTCTCTAACTTAGCCCATCAAAAGAACAGTGCATCATCTACACTCGTCTGTGTGTTGATCCCAGATGTCAGTTCTTTCTTATCTAAAAGGCTGTTGTTCCTTTATAAATGTAATCTTTTGGAAAAGTGGATTCCTGGAGGCAAAAGGGGGAGAAAAGGAAACAAGCCTTTCAACAAATATTATTTTTGAAGATGCAATGAGTTTTTTTGGTCACAAGATGTTCTGTTTTTTCACATGGTCATGTGATTTTATATGTAATATATATATTATATATAATATCACTTCAGACAAATTTAATCACCTAGTTTGATTAAGTTTCATAGTGCCTTTTTCACATGAATCAGCTTGAAGTCTGCAATAAACAGTATTTCTTGTCTGTTAAATAGTTGTATCTTTGTGGCTACAAAGATGGTATTGAAATAAGGAAGTGTTCTTGATTTTTGCCATTAGTTTGCTCTTCCTCTGTGTACAAGGGAAAAAAGAATTCTATTCATTTTTCATAAAAGAAAAATTAAAATCTTAATAAAGGTGTTTAGTGCCATTTATTGTAAATGTCCGTATGAAATACTTACTGTGTGTTATGTGTCTATGTATATTATAATTTAATACCTGTGACAAGTGTGTAGGTTCTACATCTGTCATTTAAATAGATGAAATTTTAACCTGTTATTTATAATGGTATTTCATCCAGAAATGGATCAAGAAGTGATAACTCCCAAACTGAAGACTCCAGCTGCCACAGCAATCGCTAAGAAATGGATTCTTGCATTACTCCATGAAAGAAATGATGAATCTTCATTGCTTTCTCCCTATAGGAAACATTTGAGGCAGCACACCTGCATGATAACTGCATCCATTCAACCTATCTACATCGCTCTAGGCGGCAAAATTGTCTGTCTCGCTGCCTGTCCTCTCTCTCCAGTAAGTGTCCATATGTAGCCTGAGAGTGTTCCCAGTAGAGCAGTCCCCTCCACTGGGTGGTGATTGACTGAAAAAGGAAGGTGTGAAGCTGTTCTTACGTAGGTGCTTCATTACTTCCAAGTACAGAAGTAGGAAACTTTTCAAAAGGCCTTTGAAACTGTTATTTAAAACTTAGAATCACTGTATTTTCCAATGGAAGGTATGTCCGATTCCATAAAAGGCACTGTGGTGGTCACCTGCACCTCTGTTCCCCTGTTAATTACTGAAATACGAACCCAAGATTCATATTCTCTGCAAGTTTATTTTAGCATTCACTGCATAGTTTGCTTTTGGCCAGAAAGAGGAACAGCTCTGAGATTCTTCAGACTTTGCGGAGTTTGGCATGCAGAGGTCTTGGGTGCACCCATGTTTCATCTCTGAGAGAAAAAGAGGTGTCTTCACAGCAGTGTTTCCTGAAGTCGGATTTCTGGGTAGCTGTTAAATTGTACAGAAGGAGCCAGACAAGCTTGAATGTGGTCAGAAGCACCTCTGGAGATGCTTGGGAGGAAAATGGGAAGCCTGTGCTGTATCCCTAAGGGATAAACAAAATAATCGGGGGGGTGGGTTGGATTTTTTTTTTTTGTCTCTGCGTTTTTCTGATAGTTTTTAAATTAACAACTAAGTACAACTCAAGTTGTATTTTAGCCTTTAACTTTGCTGAACTAGACACGATTATGAATGAAACCCCATGATTCTGGCCAAGCTACCATTTTACAGAAGCCCAATTTTTCTATGATGCTTTCCTTTGGCTGTGGTTTGTGTAGTGTCTAAACAATGAAACCAACAGCCCCCTCTAAGGATTGAGTCTGATACAAGAACAGCTTTTGGGACGTGAAGGCATTTTGACTTTTCAGGGGTTTAGGACATTAACAGAAACAAGACATAGCTTGAATACCAGACCCTTGTTCAAGTAGCTATCTCCACTCATTTTCCTGGACTGCATCTCATGCATACGATTATGAACACGATTATGAATGAGATCTTATGTTTCTGGCCAAGCTACTATTTTACAGAAGACCAGTTTTTCTATGATGCTTTCCTTCGGCTGTGGTTTGTGTAGTGTCTAAAAAATGAAACCAACAGCCTCCTCTAAGGATTGAGTCTGATACAAGAACAGCATTAGAGGGAATATTTCTCACCACATAATAGCATTATGTATGGGAAGCACAATCGTGAAGGAATTCGTAAGCACCCATTGAGTTCTGTTTTCAAATATTTCACAAACCTGTTGAACTTTCACTGCTGGTATGTTAAGTTTTAGGTCAGAAGTGCTTATTTAACTGCCTTTGGCTCTTCGGTATCTTTCTTCTGTTTCTCTGAAGTTACATGCTTAGGTTGCAACTTTGGCCTTTCACCACTTCCTCAGAATCCAGATCAAAACCAGTGTCAAGATATTGGTCTGTGCTTCAACTTCTTGATAATAATTGTAGATTAAAAGAGGAGATGAAAGAAGGAGAATTCCTCAATGCTTCCTTGCCAGCACTGCTGCTTGTCCCAGCACCAGCAAAGCTCAACCAACCACCCCCATCCACATCCATGTCAACAGCACCAACAGCATTATCTTCTCACAAGAAATGGCTGAACAGCTTTTGCTGGCCTGAATGAAACTCCTGTTTTCAGACAAGCCCTTAAAAAGGTTCGAAGAGGGCCGGAGGTGGTGTGACTTGAGGTTAGTGAGCTGAGGGAGAGCAGGCCCCTTTTGGTGCTTAAGATGATGATGGTGAGTATTTGACAAGAGACAACTTTGTCTTCTTTAGGCGCAGGAAGAAACCCTGTAAGAAGTAAAGCACAAGGAAGGCTTCCCAACCTGTTCTTAATCCTCGTGTGAGGATGGAAAGAAACAGTTCTGAAGACCCTCATGTGTCAGGGCTCACTGTGCAGGGTCTGTGCTAGTGGAGACACCACTTTCACACGTGGCTCTGAAAACTCCTTGGCTCTTCTAAAACATGTCCTGAGGTTTGCTTGTTTGTTCCTTCCAGGGCAGCACGCCCAGCAGGAGGCAATGAGGTGAACACTGGCGCTGGTTTTGGTTAAGGGTCCCTGGCTGTGCAGAGCTGCTTTCCTGTAGATCTGGGTCAGTAGATGCTCTAGGAGCAGCAGATCAACATCGAGTATTTATGGCGTCAGCAGAGCTGTAGGTATGAAACCCCCAATTCAAAACACTTATTACAAAGCCTGAAGTTTCAGACAGCTTTATAGCTGAGATGAGAGAGAGTTGTATTTTGACAGGCACTGGAAACCACATCAACATGGAGCACAAGTCCAAAACATGGTTCATTTGGACTTGCTTTCAAGGAGCCTGACAAGGTAAAAACCAAAAGCGTGATGTGGATTCAGGCTAAAAGCCTCTGCATGACTCTTCTAAACCACATTGTCTCCCAGGCTTTTTCATTGCATTACTTACTGGGTGAGGTGGTTTCCAGTGCCGTCTCAGCACACCTAGCTATGAAGCTCTGCATGGTCTGTGGGGTAGGAAAAGGTATTTTTCTGAAGGAGTTTTCATTGTAATTGATTTTGTGATCAAGTAGCTATTGAAGGAAAAATACACACCTGTTACTGTGCAAATTGAATAATTTTTTGACATGTATTCAAAAACTGTCTGGTAAATGCATGCAACAATGTGCAACAATGTGGTTTTTGGCATCTTTACAGCAATTTTGTAGGCTGTCGTGTTCAGCCAAGCTTCTGTTAGCGCCAACTCACACTGTGATATTTTGTGTGCACATGAAAGTTTGAAAAGTAACCTCCTTATCGTGGTCTGAGACTCGATGGGCAATAGGCAGCAGGAGGTTACAGGCAATAGATGAGAAAGCAAGAACATTTGTGATTTGGTTTTGTTGTTTTTTTTTTTTCCCTGCTAATTCTCTAGAGGGATGTGAACATATTTTCTGAGTAGACACATAATGGAACACTGAAACATATTTTTCAAAAAAGCAGGAAGGGAAAGTCTGAGTGGTCAAGCGCTCATTCATAATTCTGTCTTCTGCTGAAATTAGGCCAGACAAATCTTTGCTGTTCCCATTGAAATGGCAAGACCTCGAGCTGAGGTGCGCTGGTGATATGAGAGACAGAAATATTGGCCATCAAAGCCTTTCTTGTTAGCAATCTGCTCCCTGAAGAGAGGGCTTTCTGCCCTTTTGCACCCACCTCCATGCGTTTTGTTTAGAGAAAGAACATCCCTGCTTTAGAACTGGGCTGAGTGGAAACTGTGGAACCCGTACGAGATGCATAGAAAGAGAAGAAGAGGGGGTGGGCGTGATGTGCAATTCATGCAATTCATCTCATACTCATTTAATAACCAGAGGTGGAGTCTCTTCCGTACCCTTCACAAGGACCTGTTTTATTTGGGAGATTATCTTGTGTCTATGCCGTTTTGCATAGTATAGATGGGATAGTTGGAAGGAAGTTTTCTTTTGTAACAAATACAATGACAAAGTAGATAGTAAAGGAACGTACACCGATTTACCTGCTACAGAACAACTCTTGGGAAGAAAAAATCCGAATATCACCTGAAGGAGGTTATCAGGCTTCTGGAAGCAGCTGAGCTACAGAACTACACCCTGCTACCTGACAGGCAACAGGAAGCCCCGGGGTGAATGAGTACGAAGCGCGTACGGGTACATTTGCTGTTTTGCTCACAGTGACTTCTCCACAGGTAGGCAATCCAGTGTGTTTACTTTCAGCTCAAGTTCATCTCATTTACATTGAGTACCACTGCTGCGAACTTCCAATGAGGTGACACAAAGC